CACTCAGGCGGTTTCTCACACGCGTGCGTGCTCTCACATACAGGGCTACTACAGTGTGCCTCTTCACATACTCAGGGTTTGATGTGACAGGTGTGCTCTCACATACAGGTATACAGGTGTGCTCTCACATACAGGTATACAGGTGTGCTCTCACATACAGGTATACAGGTGTGCTCTCACATACAGGTATACAGCCGTGTTGCTACTCTTACAGGTAGACAGGCTGTGCGTATCGGGATACAGGGTGAAGGTGTGCTGGAGAGACGTGTGTCGCGCCAGCGTTGCTGTCATAGCAGTGACAGGGTTGAGGTACAGGATGTGCTATCACATACAGGTAGAGGGTGTAGCGCGATACCGTTACAGGTAGGATGTCAGGTGTGCTATCACTTACAGGTAGACAGGTGTGCTATCACTTACAGGTAGACAGGTGTGCTATCACTTACAGGTATCATGGGTCTCGCAATGATCACCCATACAGTGGGTGCGTTGAGAGTACAGGGACTCGTGCTAGGCACAACATGGTATACAGGTGTTTGTCGCTCTCAGTCTAAGGCATCAGACGGTGTGCTGTCGTGCACCTTGAGGCTATGAGCAGGATGTGGCTAATGCAGAACGAGCGTGGTATGTACGAGGTTTTCATTATCGCTGTTGTCATCACATGGTAGATGCGATCAGGCGTTCCGGACTGCCCGATAGCAGGTGGTAATGAGGAAGGAATGTGCCGCGGAACGGTGGTATTAATTGCTGTGGTTTGTTAGTGGCGCTTACATCTCGGGTGCGCCGACCTTGTCACCAGGAGCATAGCTATCTCTCGTCGTCCTCCATTGTATATTGATAGTGAATAGTGCGGTCAGTCTGTAGTCAACTGTTGCCCCCTAGCTCTGTGAGAAAAGGGCGTGATGTTTCGTCCCAGAAAGGAAAGAGAAGAAGAACGCTCCAGTGAGGAGAGAAAGATTGATGGACGTGTCGGTTAAGGAGGGAGTAGTACGTTGACGCGACGCGGCGAGCGAAAGAGGGACAAGGTGACTGAGCACGTACGCGAGCGCGGGCGCATGCGCACACTTATATAGTTATAGACATGATCTGTTATCGTGTCGTCTCGTGCTACGCGGACTCTAACGCATCTCGCAGCGCAGCGCGCACTCAATACATACTTGTATGGTGCAGCCGCGTGTGCCCGCTATTGAGTTTGGCTCTATCATATTTAATAAGTTTTGTATCCCGACGGTGTATCATGTCGCATCTATAATTTCTGTGACACGGCGCGTCATTTGACTCGTGTGATATTCGCACGGCTCGCTTACGAGCACTGCATCTCAATCCGGCCTCTCAACTGGCTCCCACCGGCTCACAACCACCCCACCGCACCTATCGCCTTTGCAGCTAACTCTCGCACTACCGCTCCCATCCTCCCCCACTCCCACGTTCGCAGCCCATCATCGGCGACCCGTCTCCTCGCTAAGACTCAAAGCTCACTGCTTGTTCGCTCTGTTTTTCGGGTTCTGACTTAGTTTTGCTGGGTTGTCTCGATTCGGTTTGTGATGATTGGTTGCCGTTCGGTCGTGGCTGTTCTCCGCTTGCTAGGCGGTTTATCTCGCTGTATATGGGAAAATGTTAGGTTGCATATATGGTGTCGTTGCATGCCTAGCTGCTGTCTGGTGTTGTGTTGTTTTGTTGGTACTGTGTGGTGTTTGTTATTGTTCGTTGTTGTTCTGACTGTAGATGCTCTCGTCAGCTCGCTATACTAAACTCGTTGTCGCTCATAATGACATCATATATGGCGCATTGCATTTCGTGGCTCGGCTCGGCGGTATGTGTTGGGTCCCCGTTGTGCTTATATCATCGTGGCGTGCTATAGTTGATACAGTGGTGTGTGCTCGGTGACTGTGTGATTAGCCGGCCCGGACCTAGCGAGCTATAGTCGGGTCTTAGGAGTGTAGCTGTGTGGCACGTGAGCTGCGTCGTTTAGCGTTAGTGTTAAACAGTAGACGCTCAGTGTATTAGATCGCTCGGTGATGTGTGTCGTTGTTGTGTGGTAGGTCGCGTGTGTGTGTGGTGGCGGGGGGGTACGTGTGTGTGTGTGGGGGGGGAGGGGGTACGTGTGATGTGGGTGGTGTGGTGTGTGTGTGGTGGGTGTGGGTGTTGGTGTGTGATGGTTGGGTGTGTGTGTGGTGTTGTGTGGTTTTGTTGTGGGTGTGGTGTGTGTGTGTGTGTGTGTGTGTGTGTGTGTGTGTGTGTGTGCGTGTTGCCGGTGTGCGTGTGTGTGGTGTGGTGTGTACGTGTATGTTGTACTGCGTCAGTACATGAAGTGATACACTGTACAGTGTGTGTTGTGTGGTGATGTGTGTGTGTGTGTGTGTGTGTGTGTGTGGGTGTGTTAGTGTGTGTGTGTGTGTATGCGTGCGAGTGTGTGTATGCGTGCGTAATACAACGACCAGCTGCTGGAACGAGTCAGTGATTTGCGTGCATTACCGTGTTTGAGCGCACGCACCGCAGCGCGAGCATTGCCTGCCAGCTGGCGGCTGACTGCGGACAGATACTGCCAGTGGAGCTCGGTGTGTGTGGGCTGCCAATTCGCACACGGATGCGTTTGTGATGAGACCAAAAGAACGAGCGACCGGAATGGAGGCAAGGGAGAAGCATGGCCGGTTAGGAGCGGCGGAGAGGAAGAGGGACAAGCCTAGTAAGAAACGCGGTGGGCTGAGGGAGGTGCGCTATAGATAGGGGCGTGATTGGTACGCGGTTCGCGACGGCCAGGCCCTTGCACGGCCTTCAAGAACCGGAGATCGCGTTCCAAACTTGGTCGGCAACATCTACGATCATGGACACGTTGCATGGGCTATTTTTTTCCATTTTATTTTTTTCCAATTCACGTTAAAAAACATTAAATATTGGCAGAAATTTTTGCACAAGCGCGGTTGCAGACAGCATTGGCTCAACGACGAAAACAACAAATGGGCAAGTGGGAAACAGTGTTCAAGACCCAATGGGGATAACACAAGGAGCGCTCCCACATCTTAAGGTAATTATTGTAAGGTCGCTTCCAGTCTGATCTAAACCAGAGAAATGCGTCAGACGTGAGGCAATGGTGTTGATAAGTCATTGTTGGTACTGGCTCGTGTCGACAGGTGTGCGGAGACACTTGCGGAATGCCAAGGGTTAACGGCGTTAGCGACGGCCGAGAAACAGTATGGAGTTTAGCAGAAGTTTGGTCGTGGGGAAAGCTCGGCGAAAGACTGTTTAACAGATGGAGACAAAATAGACGGAGGATTGAACGAGAGCCGAGATAAGGAAAGGTGGCAGCCGCTAAAGTGGCCACCAAGCATGTAGACTAGTTATGAAGTAGGAGTGAGAGGTTAGAATGAGCGCAGGTTGTGTAGTGAGAGAGTGTGAGCGAGAGACTCTGGCCGATAGATAGTCGAGAATGTAAATGCGACATAAAGATTGTATGGGAGCAGAGAGGAGGATTAATCTCGATTTGTAGAGATAGTACGAAGGACGGTGAGTAGAACCCAAGGCAAACAACTTGGAGATGTGTTGCCAAACATGCTCTATGCCGGGGGCGAAGCAGCCCGGAAAATGAACCAGACGAGACGCATGTGTTCAGTACGAGGAGTGGCTTACTGCCGACGTATAGCTGGTAATCGATTAGCTAAGCGGTAGTGGAGAGCGTGAGAGAAGAGTTGTGAGCCGTTGGGTAGGACTGCGCAAAGATGGTACGAAGTTGTTACGATGCCAGTAGGGGGAGTCATAGTTACATGGCGAGAGTGGTGAGAGGATGAGAATTTGAGTATATGATCAGGACGAGGAAAATGGGAGCGACGCGAAGAAGAAGATTGGTGAGATGAGAGAGTGAGAGAGTTACAAGACTTGGAAGAGAATGAGAGGAGAGAGAGAGAGAAGGATATTGAGTGAGAAAGGCTAAACCGTTGATGAGCTGCTGAGTAATATATAATGAAGCGATAATGCGATGAAAACGAGAAATTGTCGTGTATCTAGTGATGAATCTATTAATTAGATGAAGCTCGCACGAGTCTCCCCGCGATCACTGTGCTAACGTGTGGCGTACTCGACGAAGGCTACAGCGTAAGAACGGTACTATATAATCTTTATTGGTAGCGGAAGAAGTATTGATATGATTCTAGGGATGAGCGGGCGACATGAGCTAAGTTGACTCAGTCAGTAACTTGACGTGTGGGTAGGTTGAAAGGATCCGAGATAAAGAATAGTCCCCTGCATGAGAGAGAGAGAAAGATAAGGTAGTGAGAATGAGGATAGGATAGAGCAGTGACGTAACTGAACAGGAAAGAGTTGGCCCACTCCTCACATAATGGAGCAGCATGCTACTGAGCAGTGGAATTTGTCAGTGACACCACCAGGAACGTGGGGACAGAGGGAATTACGAGATAGATAGTTATGGCACTATTATTTAGATATCACAGTGACGCGCTTAGGTATATAGATAGGCATCTCGCATGCGCATAGCGATATTGCATGGTTCTAGATTACCGGTCTCGCTTGACTAGAAGTAGATAGAGTAGTGAGTGAGGAGAGGGAGATGTGATTGGTAGATGAGAGAATCACCGCGAAGAAGGAGAGGAGAGGGAAGGAGAACACGAGGGGGCTCTAAGGAAAGGAGGGGAGAGAAGAGATGCAGAATCAAGCATAAAGAAAACCAGTTACGGTTGACCTCCTGGACGATAGAAGGGGAAATGTGAGGAATAGAAGAGAAGATAGGATAGAGAAGAGTAGTAGAGAGAGAGAGAGAGAGAGAGAGAGAGAGAGACTGAGCGAAGAGAGAGAGGGAGAACGTAAAGAAAACGATGGATGAGATTGAGTAGAGAGTTGCGGTGAGAGAGAGCATTGGTCTTACCTGAACATTAGGAATGCAAAGAGGCAGAGCCCGGAGAGAAACAGTAGCACGAGTAGAACAAAGAGCATCTCCACCGCATCCTCTCCTCTCGCTCTCCTCAGCCTCCCGCGCGAGCACGCAGCACCGCTCAGCGCACCTGCCCGCCGCGCACCTCACCTGAGTACAGGTGAGCCACAGGTATGTCACTGAGGTGAGCCACAGGTATGTCGCTGAGGTGAGCCACAGGTATGTCACTGAGGTGAGCCACAGGTATGTCACTGAGGTGAGCCACAGGTATGTCACTGAGGTGAGCCACAGGTTTGTCACTGAGGTGACCCACAGGTTTGTCACTGAGGTGACCCACAGGTATGTCACTCAGGTGAGCTACAGGTGAGCTACAGGTGAGCTACAAGTGAGCTACATGTGAGCTACAGGTAAGTCACAGGTGAGCTACAGGTGAGCTACAGGTAAGTCACAGGTGAGCTACAGGTGAGCTACAGGTAAGTCACATGTGAGCTACAGGTGAGCTACAGGTAAGTCACAGGTGAGCTACAGGTGAGCTACAGGTGAGCTACAGGTAAGTCACAGGTGAGCTACAGATGAGCTACAGGTAAGTCACAGGTAAGTCACAGGTGAGCTACAGGTGAGCTACAGGTAAGTCACAGGTGAGCTACAGATGAGCTACAGGTAAGTCACAGGTAAGTCACAGGCGAGCCACAGGTGAGCTACAGGTAGGTCACACAGGTGACCAACTCTGGTGAGCCACAGGTGAGCCACTCAGTATGTAAACGTCCCGAATAAGCCACAGGTGTGTCAAAGGTAGGTCACAGATTATTCGCACGTAAGTCACAGATGTTTCGCAGCTAAGTCACAGATTTTTCGCAGCTGAGTCACAGATGTTTCGCAGCTAAGTCACAGATGTTTCGCAGCTAAGTCACAGACGATTCGCAGCTAAGTCACAGATGTTTTGCAGCTAAGTCACAGATGACTCGCAGGTAATGTGGCTTCGAGTGAGCCACAGGTAACACACAGGTGAACGACAATCTACTCAAGGTCAAATGAGCCGCGCGTGATTAACACACGAGAAAGAGACCGCTATGTCGCAAATCCTCCTCCTCTCCGCCGGACAACAAAGGAAGCTGAGAGAAAGAAGAAGCCACGCGAAGGAGGACCATTAATCGGGATGCTCGCTGGCGCTCTCCCGATCGCCGATGATGCGGAGACAGGAGCGAGACGACGAGAGAAGAAGCCATGAGAGAGATGAAGCCATTCATCATCACGCGAGTCTCTCGCGCAGCATCTCTCGCAGCATCCCTCAGCATCTCTCCGCACAGCGGCAAAGCTTTCCTGCGCAGATGCTGCTGCGGTTACACGGCAACCAGCTGATATCCCGCAGCAGTAGCATCAGCAGCATCATCATCAGCAGCGGCGGCGGCGGCAGCGGCAGCGTCGGTGATTACTGGTGCAGCTAACGCGTCACGCCCTATCAGAGGCGTAGGTAACAAGCGCCGCGAGGGATAACGGGATTCTGTACACGCGTTGGTTTACGTAGATGCGTGGGGTGCTGAGCACCGGGAGGGGTATGTGGGCGTCAGAATGGCAAGCTGCTAGTGTGTGTGTGTGTGTGTGTGTGTGTGTGTGTGTGTGTGTGTGTGTGTGTGTGTGTGTGTGTGTGTGTGTGTATGTGTGCGAGCGTGCGTGTGTGTGTGTGAGAATGCGCACGCGCGTGTGAGTAAGAGTGTGTGTGTGTGCATGTGTGCGCGTGCTCGTGCGTGCGTGCGTGCGTGCGTGCGTGCATGTGTGTGTGCGCGTTGTTTGTATTTGCTTCACACTCTGCTTTGCTCCATCCTGATCCATTCACTCATCACGCCTCTACGCACCCGTCCCCGAGGTTAACCAAACATATCATCCGCCATCCACCCCACGCACCACACTCCCACCTCACCCTTCACCCAAAACATCCGCTTCACCCATCCCCGCCCCCCGTACGACCACCCACCTCTCACCCCGCCAACTACACCTCCATCCCTCCCTACACTCCATGTCTCTACCCCTATGCCGTCTTCTTACGCCTACACTCCCCCGTACACCCCATACCCCTACGCCGACGCTCCCTCCCCCTACGCTCCCTCTACACCTCCACCCCCTCGCTACACTCCCCCGTACACTCCCTACCCCTACGCCCACGTTCCCTCCCCTACGTGGCCCTTACCCCTAAGCACCCTACCTCTAAAATCCCCCTCCCCTCTCCCTACCCTCCCTCTACCCTTACGCCCACCCCTACGCCCTCCCCCTCTCCTTACGCCCACAATGCGTATGGGGATGCAATATATGGAAATATATTGCAATATATTGTGCACAATGCGTATGAGTATATAGTAGTACTAGAGTATGGAGAGTAGAGTTAACTCACCGGTAGTCCGGTAGCTCCCGGCAGCCCCTGATCTCCATCCAGGCCATCGAGTCCCGGTTGACCGCGCCCTCCATCTTCTCCCTAGGTGAGACAAAGCTTGGCAACAAGGCAATTAATCACTGCCATGGCATGCTCTATCATGCAGGGGGCAGCACCGCACTGCGTCCTGTATCGGGGTGCAAGCGCGCTGGCTGCGGCGGCGGCCCTGCACGAGGGCACGTCCGTACGTGTGTGTGTGTGTGTGTGTGTGTGTGTGTGTGTGTGTGTGTGTGTGTGTGTGTGTGTGTGTGTGTGTGACGTGTGTGTGTGTGGTGTGTGGTGTGTGGTGTGGTGTGTTGTTGTGCTTGTGTGTTTGTGTGTTGGTGTGCGCTGTGTGTGTTTGTTTATGTGTGTGTTTGGGGGGGGAAAGGTGTGGTGTGTGTGTGTGTGTGTGTGTGTGTGTGTGTGTGTGTGTGTATGTGTGTGTGTGTGTGTTGTGTGTGTCGTCGCGTGTGTGTGTGTTTTTTGTGTGTTGTGTGTGTGTGTTGTGTGTGTGTGTGTGTGTGTGTGTGTTGTGTGTGGTACGTGTGTGTTGTGTGTGTGCGGTGTGTGTGTGTGATGTGTGTTGTGTGTGTACGTGATGTGTTGTGTGTGCGTGGTGTGTGTGTGTGTGTGTGTGCTTGTTGTGTGTGTGGTGCTGTGTGTGTGTGCGTTGTGTGTGTGTGTGTTCTGTGTGTGTTTGGGGGCGGGAGTGTGGTGTGTGTGTGTGTGTGTGTGGTGTGTGGTGTGTGTGTGGTGTATGTGTGTGTGTGTGCTGTGTGTATGTGTTGTGTGGTGTGTGTGTGTGTGTGTCGTGTGTATGCTGTTGTGTGTTGTGTGTCGTGTGGTGGTGTGTGGTGTGGTGTGTGTGTGTGTGTGTGTACGTGTTGTGTTTGTGTGTTGTGTGTGTGTGTTGTGTTTGTGTTGTGGTGCGTGTGTGTATGTGTGTGTGTGCTGTGCGTGTGGTGTGTGTTGTGTGTGTGTGTGGTGTGTGTGTGTGTGTGTGTGTGTGTGTATGTTGTGTGTGTGTGTGTGTGTAATGTGTCTGTGCTGTGTTGTGTGTGTCTGTGTTCGTGTGTGTGTGGGTGTGTAGCAGACCAACCACGATCAGGCTAGAGAGAGGAGATTTCCGCCACCACAGAGCAGAAGCACTGTTAACATCAACAATAGGCGTACACATGCACAGGTGAGAGGGGAGGGGAGGGAGGGGAGGGAGGGAGAGCAGGGGAGGGAGGGGAGACAGGAGGAGGTAGCGGGCGAGAGGTTGAGAGATGTAGTGAGGATGAGGGAGAATACAGGAAGATAGATACAGGAACGCATTTGGAACACAGGGAGATCGAAGGAGGAGAAAAGGGAGACACGAGGAGGTGGAAGGAGGAGAAAGGAGAGACACAGAGATGTAGAAGAAAAGGAAATGACACACTGGGAAGTGTCGAGAGGGAGAAGAGAAGAGGTAGAGGGAGGAGGGAGGAGGGACGCAGGGAGATAAGGGAGGAACGAGAGTAAGAAGGATACCTAAATGTCAGAGGAAGGTCGTCACCTGTCATTCACATGTCACCTAGACAGACGGCAAGCAAGTGGGAACTGTCAGGGATGATCAAGAAAAGACAGGTTTCGACTTGAAAAGGATGACCTTACAAAAAGGTCAAATGGGACCTGAGAGGGGTAATGAGCACTCAGTACGTACCGTCGGTCCGAGCATGCCCATTTCACCCTTCATTCCCGGCTGTCCCTTCAGGCCTCTTGGTCCCATCATGCCGATCTCACCAGTCATGCCATCATCTCCCTGTAGGTGGCAGCGCAGGCGTGTGAGAGATGTGCGAGTAAAGATATTCGTGGGTTAGAGGGAATTGCGGAGAGGGAATGATACGAGATTCACAAAATTCAGGGAATATCAAACCTTACGAGTCAGGCATCAGATCAACGGATGGCAAAGCGTGTCAGGGTAGTGTACAATGGCATGTGTGTGTGTGGCGTGCGGAGAGGGGGTCTAGAAAAGGAGGGATTGAAGGAAGGAAGGAGAGGGAGAGGTAATAGATAACTAAAGATGTAGGGAGAATAGAGGGAGAGACGTAGAAAGAGAGAGAGAGAGAGAGAGAGGAGGGAGGAAGAAAGAAGAGAGAGATTTGATGAGAGAGAGAAGAAGATAAAAGGGAAGAGTATATGAGGGTGAGAGAGAGAGGAAGATGAGAGCACAAGAGAGGAGACGAGAGTAGGAGAGAGAGAGAGAGAGGGAGCTAGCGAAGAGAGGGATGGCATATTGGCAAATCTCGCCACAAATACACGAGCCATCACTGAATCAATATTACAACAACGATTCTCACATAAGCCTTAAAGTCATTATCTCATGTAAGACATCACGCTATCACCGTGACTCAGCACACAGCAACAATTAATTAGCTTCATAATTAAGCTTTAATGTAAATATTCTAATTAAGGCTTTAAGCATTAAACGGACGACGAGTAAAGAGTTATGAGTAATAATTGTAATTGATTATAATCGAATCGACGGCCCGTTTCTAATCAATACTTTCTCGGCAGCCGAGCGAGTCGACAAGGTGTCGCCACCTACAGGCGGTTAAAGAAACATACCTTTAGTTAGAGAGTCCGATCTTGGAGGTGCCAGCAGTAAAAGAATGCTCTCAGAGAGGAGACAGAGAGAAGCTTAATAACGAAGAGGAAGCCAGCTCGAGCCGGTAACGAGGAGGGCGTTACGAGGCGTCTGCCAATGCTCAGTCGCCATGGCGACGCGATCACGCGTGTGTAGGGTATAGGTGTTTACGATGCGCGTTTTTTTTATTTAATTGTCGTGTTTTTGTTATGTATTGTAAATATATTGTTGATATTTTTCAGCCGGTCTGTCGTTTTTTATAAGTTCTTCGAGCGTTATTTTGTTGTTGTTGTTGTTTTACGCTCAGCGGCGCTGTTGTTGTTAGCGTTAGGTTTTACGTTCTCTACATAGATTTCCTTTTAGCTGTCATCAGTTTTTTTAAACATTTTTATGCTGCAATCAGCCGCTGGTTGGATCGGCCGCGCACGAAAACTGTGTGTTGATAGAATTTTTATGATAGTCTGCTGGTAGCAGAATGATGACGTTAAGTGAAAGAGAGGAAAGAAGGTTGGGAGGTTAGCAAGTGCTGCCCCCGTGCGGACCGCCGGACCCACGTGACGAACTTCTGTGTTAGCGTCGTTTGCCCTTCAACGAGAGCGCCAAGGACGTCTCGCATTTGAGGTTAAATATATCACCTTCGTTAATATACCATATATATATATATGGTAATGATTTTGGGAACGCGATTGGTTTTGCGGCCGAGACTGCTCTATTGTTTTATTACTGTTTCATACGACCACCAGGTGGCGGGCAGCGCGGCGTCGCACGGGGGCTCTGCGGGGCGGTTGGCGAGTCATAGTATCTGATCTCTGTCGGATTAAAGGTTTAAGGATTAATGTTTTTAATCCTAATCAAATCTTAATACACGTAGTTATAGGAATTAATGGACGGATTAATCACATGATAGAGGGCGCATGAGTCGGACCATTACTGTACGAGGGGTGGCCATTAATGTTTTAGTTAAACCTGGCACCGTTGGGGGGCGCAACGTGTCTCAGTGGAGCGCAAGCATGCGTTAGATCACTCACTCTTGTGTTATCACTACAGGGGACGAAAACGAAAGAGAACTACCGAGTAAGGAGCTATCCTAACATGCCCCTAGTTCACATCGCCACCACTAGATGGCGCTGTTAGTCCTCTGCGCCGATGATGTTAGAAACAACAGGGATAGTTTCTCCGCGTTCCGAAATTTCCAACGGGACGAACAGAAATATCTCCCGTGTGTGCGGTTGTGGTTCAGTTGCAGATCTCTGCCACCAGGTGGCCGAATATGCCTTCCGGTTATGCATCTAGCTTTACTATTTCTGATAGAGATTACTGTGCTAGTATTAGTTTCCATGTTAGTCCTAACTCTGTGAGCAGAAAGGCACAAGCAGCAATCATATTATTATTATTATTATTATTATTATTATTAGTAGTAGTAGTAGTACTAATAGTAGTATTAGTAGTAGTAGTAGTAGTAGTAGTAGTAGTAGTAGTAGTATTAGTAGAGTGATGGGCCGCGGGGGAATCCATGTGTGTTAGTTGAGACCGGCATGCGGATAGATGGGCGCGATGCAAAATGCGATGTGTGATGTGACGTTGTAATGTGTGGGCTCGGCGGCAGTCTATAGTGAGTCTCTCCTCCACCTACACCCGTCGCGGCCGTAACTATGGCTACAGTCATGCACTCACACGCACGAGCACGCACGCACGCATGCACGCGCGCGCACACGCACGAGGCGAAAACAGTGTTAGACGAAGTTCATGTGCGATGCTACATGCCTAGACTGAAGAGACATAATATAGAAAAAATTAATAAAGAGAGGGAGGGACAGGGAGAAAGATAGATAGATATATAGATAGATATATAGATAGATAGATAGATAGATAGATAGATAGATAGATAGATAGATAGATA